AACTGAAGAGCAGCCTTGCGTTGGCTTTATGCACAGCTGCACTACTTCCTGAACTTAAGCCAGCTCCTTGTTTCCTGTCTGACATTATTGGCCAAACTTGATTAATTCAGGTGTGTCTGATTATTGTTGCTGTGACTACTGAGGTCAGGCACACCTGAATTAATCAATTTGTCCAATAATGGCGGACAGGAAACAAGGAGCTGGCTTAAGTTCAGGAAGTAGTGCAGCTGTGCATAAAGCCAATTAGGCCAAATTACCAACATTTGTAATGTAACACTTAAATAATCAAGTGCCTTTGTCACTTTGGTTGTCATTAAATGTTGATTGTTTTTATATTCTAGTTTTAAGATGCCAAGAGGATCAACAGTAACAACCTGCGTGAGCTGCAAAGCAGCTATTGGTGTGGCCACCAAGACCTGCAAATATTGCCAGTCAGTACAGCCAAGAAAGCAAAGACTGGCAAAAAAACTCCAGAAATTTGAGGCCAGAAAGGAGACATGGTTGAAAAACAAAAACAAAAACCAAACCACCTCTCATGTTATTGATGAGGCATCTGTCTTGGTATGTGTTTAGCGTCTGTAGTTATTATTTAAATAATAACAGCCCACAAAGTTTCAGACATTTATAATTCCTTATATTTCTGTATATATTATATAATATATATCTTTTTTTTTTTCAGGTCGAAAAGTTAAACACATTGGGGTACAAGGCCATAGTCTTCATTGCAAAGAAAACAAAGAAGCAAAAAACCTGGTCCGCACAAGTCCTCCAGCCAAAATGGCAGCTGTCAGACCATTCTAAAAAATGCCTTGACAGGATGAAGGCTCTATATGAAGTTTTAATTAATAGTAAGTGTGTTCGATTATTTAAAATCTTACTACAGTCAACATTAAAATAAATGTGGCACAGACACAGCAATTACAGTAGGGAATTGTCTTGGTAGCGGTGCCACAGGGCAAACCACAGTGGACCAAAAATAGCTATTCACCTGTTCATCAAATTTGGTCTTTGCTTTATCCAATAGGTTTTTCGGTAACACTTTATAATAATAGTTTGTCAGTCATTAATAAGTAACTATGCAGGAAGTAATGCAGGACTAATGAGTGTTACTACATTAACACTTCAGCTTCTACTATTAACTAATATAGAAACAAGCTTAACTAATCAGTAAGTACTATCAAATTTAGGAGATAGTTCCTTATTAAGTAAGCAATAATTACTTAATGAGATAGCCTAAGCCTCATAATTAACTGTTAACTAACTGACTAATTATAAAGAACATTATCGTGTGCCTGAGACATGATCAGTCATATGTTTTACTCTGAATGTAGTCATAAAATGCATCACTCATTACTCAAGTGTTACCTAGTCACTATGCAGGAACTACTAGTGATCTGGACCATTATTTTAAAGTGAAAAACATATTTTTTCTACTTTAAAATAATGGTCCAGATCACTAGTAGTCCTTGAAGAGTGACTAGGTAACACTTGAGTAATTAGTGATGCATTTTAAGACCATGTTGAGAGTAAAAAAAAGACTAATTGCTAACGTATCAAACACGTTAATGTTGTGGTTATTAATTTAATTAGTTATTTATAATTTGTCATAATTACCTATTAGTTCTTAATTATCTCATTAAGTAATTATAGATTACCTAATAATGAACTCTCTCCTAAATTTGATATTACTTACTGATTAGTTAAGCTTGTTTCTATATTAGCTGAAGTGTTAATGTAGTAATACTCTTTAGTCCTGCATTACTTCCTGCATAGTTACTTATTATTGATGGATCATTATTATAAAGTGTTACTGATTTTTCTTTTAGAGCTGCGACAATTATTTGATATTTGAGATTATTATACAATTAATCACCAACAATTTTGATAATTGTTTAATAAAAAATGCTCTGCTTTCAGAGTCTTACATTAGAATATATATATATATATATATATGTATGTGTATCATCTTTTAGATTATGAAAATAACTGTTGTTTGCAGACTTAGTTTCTTAGTTTGAGCCACATAGCTCACTGATTGTCTGCCATACATAGCAAAAGAGTCAACAGCAAGATGCATTGCTCAATTCAACTTCGATGCATTGCTCAATTCAACTTCAAAAAACTATAAACACATATCTCCACTTCACATAGGGTAATGAGATCCTACAATTTGCACCAGAGTACAAAATCAGCCTCACCTCAGTTTGATAGAGAGCATATAGTCCATAGGGCAGCATGTCTAGACAGAAGAATACAAAAGACAAATGTACTGGATGTTTCCTTATGGAGCACAGTCACTGCTTGAAAAAGGGGACATTTGTTCTTATTACAGGAGATAAATAATTTCCTCTTTTTGTACCATTTGTACAGGTTGTACTAACCAGTTGTCCACCACAAGTCCTCCTCCCATCCAGTCCACCATCCAGCTCACCACCAGTCCTCCCATCCAGCCCACCACCGGTCCTCCCATCCAGCCCACCACCGGTCCTCTTCCCATCCAGCCCACCACCGGTCCTCCCATCCAGCCCACCACCAGTCCTCTTCCCATCCAGCTCACCACCAGTCCTCTTCCCATCCAGCCCACCACCAGTCCTCCCATCCAGCCCACCACCGGTCCTCCCATCCAGCCCACCACCAGTCCTCTTCCCATCCAGCCCACCACCAGTCCTCTTCCCATCCAGCCCACCACCAGTCCTCTTCCCATCCAGCCCACCACCAGTCCTCTTCCCATCCAGCCCACCACCAGTCGTCCTCCCATCCAGCCCACCACCAGTCCTCTTCCCATCCAGCCCACCACCAGTCCTCTTCCCATCCAGCCCACCACCAGTCCTCTTCCCATCCAGCCCACCACCAGTCCTCTTCCCATCCAGCCCACCACCAGTCCTCTTCCCATCCAGCCCACCACCAGTCCTCTTCCCATCCAGCCCACCACCAGTCCTCTTCCCATCCAGCCCACCACCAGTCCTCTTCCCATCCAGCCCACCACCAGTCGTCCTCCCATCCAGCCCACCACCAGTCCTCTTCCCATCCAGCCCACCACCAGTCCTCCCATCCAGCCCACCACCGGTCCTCCCATCCAGCCCACCACCAGTCCTCTTCCCATCCAGCCCACCACCAGTCCTCTTCCCATCCAGCCCACCACCGGTCCTCCCATCCAGCCCACCACCAGTCCTCTTCCCATCCAGCCCACCACTAGTCCTCCCATCCAGCCCACCACCAGTCCTCTTCCCATCCAGCCCACCACCAGTCCTCTTCCCATCCAGCCCACCACCAGTCCTCTTCCCATCCAGCCCACCACCAGTCCTCTTCCCATCCAGCCCACCACCAGTCCTCTTCCCATCCAGCCCACCACCAGTCCTCTTCCCATCCAGCCCACCACCAGTCCTCTTCCCATCCAGCCCACCACCAGTCCTCTTCCCATCCAGCCCACCACCAGTCCTCTTCCCATCCAGCCCACCACCAGTCCTCTTCCCATCCAGCCCACCACCAGTCCTCTTCCCATCCAGCCCACCACCAGTCCTCTTCCCATCCAGCCCACCACCAGTCCTCTTCCCATCCAGCCCACCACCAGTCCTCTTCCCATCCAGCCCACCACCAGTCGTCCTCCCATCCAGCCCACCACCAGTCCTCTTCCCATCCAGCCCACCACCAGTCCTCCCATCCAGCCCACCACCGGTCCTCCCATCCAGCCCACCACCAGTCCTCTTCCCATCCAGCCCACCACTAGTCCTCCCATCCAGCCCACCACCGGTCCTCCCATCCAGCCCACCACAGAACCACCTCAGCAGAAACGCAGTAAGTTCTGCTGATATTTTCAAATAGCATATAAATCATGATTCAATTGCTAGTCGTGTATAAGAATAAAAATATATTATTTTTCATATATTTAATCAGGATATACTTTATAACCATGTTAAACATTTCATACGTCTCTCCTTCTTAAACTGAAATAATACTCTAAATGAAGAAATGTATTTAAATGTGAAAAAAAAAACAAGTGACTGATTAGTGTGAGGTGACTTCTGAGGTGTTATACAAGTAACTACTGTAATATGTAGGTCTGGATAACTTGCCTTTCAAATATTACTAAAGGGAAATATAACGTTTAAAAATTCATGACAGGATGATTGACAGATGTTGAAGCAAAAACTTTTGGCAAATGAACTACTGTTCAACCAGAACAGTTTCAATCTATGCAGGAACTGATGATTATGGAGAGTACTGTTGCACATCCAAAGTCTGCTGCAGGTGTTTGGTGCCTCATTCTTAGCTGTATAGAATTCACTTCAGTCTAAATTTGGCCCCTGAGGATCATACACACTCCTATTTCAGTGAAGTTCCTATATTCAATGAATATACAACAAAGACAAGATGTTTAATGTTCAAACTGAAAAGCTTTATTGTTTGTTTGCAAAGATACACTCATTTTGAATGTCATGGAGCATGGGTATGCCATGGACACCAACACACCCCCATGGCTTTTGAACTTAGCACTGTTAACAATCTGGGAGGTCCTCTTCCTTTTTATCCCGAGGAACACGACGTCCATGATTTCCATAAACTATTTTAAATGTGTACAGCACTCACAGCACTTGTAGTAGCGACAAACTGTGTTAACTGACAATTGTTTTCCAAGGTGTTCCTGAGCCCATGTTAATATCCTTTATAGTTGTGATTCCCACCATCACATAGCATCCCCAGAAGACTCAGTCATTCACAACCAAGGATGACTTGCTTGTGAATGAATCCTGGGATGCCCCTTTAATGCCCAATCATGACACTCATGTGTTTTTAATGAACCTGTTCACCGGTGGAATGTTCCAAACATTCCCAGTCTAGATCCTGTCCCTGTCCTGTTAATATAGGTTGAAAATGATTTGAAAATCATTGTATTGTGTTTTTATTTTCGTTTTACAGTTGACCCAGCTTAATTGGATTTGGGGTTTGTAAAACACATTGAATCAGATTGACAGAATCTTCATACTTAGTAAATCATTTTGTGAGACACTGTGCCCTGTCAGTGTGAATTGAAACATTATCAGTCTTGAAGACACATCTCCCATCAATATTAAAATTACAGGACAAAGGTGATGTGTGTAGGAGGAACTACATTCATTGTTTTTCCCCTCATCTTCCAGGCTTTTCCTTGAATTGATCACCTGTTTGTACATCTTTCTATAACCCTTAGTAGAGTGAATAAGTGACCACACAGCATATGGTTGAACAGTGTCCATGTATTTCAATGAGTGCCCTGCAAATATCTTTCCAATTGTAATGTGACATTATATATTTGTTATTGGAATAAAGGTATTTAGACCAGTATTCATTGTAATAACAGCTCTTCACAGATAAATTTCTTTAATCTCAACAGATATGTCTGCAAAAAACAAAAAGAAGCAGAAGAATTCTGCAGCCTCAGACAAAAGGAAGAAACTGAGGGGGATACAATCACCCAAAGGTTATCAAGCTTTACTAGTTTTACATTTCACCATTTCAAATCAGACTTCAAATACAGTGATTCTTTTGCCTTAGCCAGATATACTTAGGTCATAAATATATCATGTGTAGCCTGTCAAATTATTATTTTTATATATATTGATGATGTATGAGGTCAAACTCATGTACTTTTTTTTTTGCTCTTTCAGATTGTAACCACGGAATCCTTGAAAAGGAGCCTTACTACCCAGTGAAGAGGGTGATCCGCTGCAAAATGCAGAAGGTTAGCTTTAGAGTAATTTATAAAAGTTATAGATGTACTCTGTAGTCGGTGGAATTGCAGCACCACATCTGGAAACCCCTTAACCCCCCAACTTTGATGTTTTTACAGGGGATTCAAATGAAGCTCGTGGAATGGGAGCCCTGTTCACTTTGGTATGTACAATTTATCATATCATATTCCATATTGATTGGAATAGCCTAATTCTTAGTTCTTCAAAACAAAGTAATAGCCTTGGCTTGTATTTGTGGGCGGCTGTGGCTCAGTGTGTCAAAGGCTACGTTCACACTGCAGGCTGAAACGACCTAATTCCGATTTTTTTGCCCCTATGCGACCTGTATCTGATTTTTTCATGACAGTCTGAACGACACAGATCTGATCTTTTCAAATGCGACCCAGGCCAATTGGGTATGTGGTCCAAATCCGATATGTATCCGATCTTTTGAAATGCAACTGCAATCTGAACGACCAGGTCACATATATCCAACACACACGTCATTGCACGCACCTGTAGCTCGCCGATACACTCCAACTCCAACGCGTTTCTGCACTGTTATGGGCCGCCGCAGACGTGTCTCTTCCCGTGACAGAGTTGATCAAAGGCGCTCACAAACATAATCGAAGGTGGATCTGGTCATTCGGAAGTTACTGATGAATTCTGTATCAGTGAAGCCACTCACATCAGTATCCCACCACTCCTGGCTGCGACACCGCACCCACACGTTTCTCTGTTTAATTTTCTTCTTAAAACGAGAAGATTGTAAGTGTGCTGGCTCTGTTGTGAAAATAACTTTAATATTGCTAAACGAGCTCCACTGTCGACATCCATTTAGCTACTTCCGCAAACAACAAGTGACGTTGTTGACCGTTGAGTACTCTTCTGCGCATGCGGGTCACTTCTGGGTCATTTCGCGTTCACACAGGAGATCACAAAAGGTCGCATTTAATTGGAAATGTGAACGGCCTTGTAAAAAAATCAATTTTTAAAAAAAAATCCGAATTGAACATTAAGACCTGCAGTGTGAACGTAGCCAAAGTGTCCTTCGGGAAGACACTGAACCCACACTTTCCCCCCAGTGTGTCATTGGGTGTGTGAATACGTGGGAATCCAATCTCCAAAGCCTGTCTGCAAACAGTTCTGTATGAATGTGTCTGTAAAAGGGTGGTAGTGATGAAAATTGTAAAAGTACTTTGAGAGGTCCCAGAAAGTATAAAAGGTCTTTTACAATGGATACCTTCAGAGCAGAGGTATATGATTTCAAATAAATGGCTAGACCATAGGTAATGCAGATTCAAACCTTAACCAAAATATTACCATAGGCAGGCAATTGACTGTTATCAGGCTACTGTAAGTTTATAAACCTACTGAATGAAGGGGTGGCTTGCTGCTCCTCATTGCCCTTAACCTTGTCATGATTGTTTTGAATTAAATTCATGGCTGATGTAAAGACCTAAATTAATAACAATCTCTTTTAATTACAGTGGGAAAACTTGGCCGACACAGTGGGTGACGGAGGAGAACACCAAGAATGAATAAATCCCAATCCCATTCAATCCCATTGTTGTTTTCTATAAGCTATGTATGTTGTTATACAGTAACGTTATATTAAAAATTGTTCAAAAGCCTGAAAGTCTCCCACTTTGTAGAAAACCAGAGAACACATGCTGTGTTTGTAAAAAGCTTGACAGATCATCTCTCTCCTTCATAGATAGATAGATAGATAGATAGATAGATAGATAGATAGCGCATTACCGCCACCTACTGTGAACTTGATCCAGGAACTCTACAACTACGATTACAATCTCTACTACTACAATTCTACAACTGGTCTTGCTGCTGCTGGATATATATCTCGCGTCTATAGCAACCAAAACGTTTCAGTTTCACATTATTCAGGCGAGATCTGAAAAATATTCGCAACAACGAGCAAGCGAGTGATTATGTACTGAGTGAATATTATGAAAATAAAATAGATATTTATCGCTAGAAATGAAATCAAAACTTATTTTTATGCAGAAACTAAGTCAAAATATGCCAATAGTCCATGTTATAGCAAACGTTTCAGTTTCACATTATTCTGGCGACATCTAAAAAATATTCGCAATAACGAGCAAACAGGTGATGTACACTCACTGAGTGGATATTATGAAAATAAAATATATATTTCTCGCTAGAAATGTAATCAAAACTTATTTTTATGCAGAAACTAAGTCAAAATATGCCGATAGCAGCGTCGATGTTATAGCAACCAAAACGTAACAGTTTCACATTCTGGCGAGATCTGCAAAATCTCAATAACGAGCAAACAGGTGATTACACTGAGTGGATATTATGAAAATAAAATATATATTTCTCGCTAGAAATGTAATCAAAACTTATTTTTATGCAGAAACTTAAGTCAAATAGCAGCGTCGATGTAATAGCAACCAAAACGTAACAGTTTCACATTATTCTGGCGAGATCTGAAAAATATTCTCAATAACGAGCAAACAGGTGATTATGTACACTCACTGAGTGGATATTATGAAAATAAAATATATATTTCTCGCTAGAAATGTAACCAAAACTTATTTTTATGCAGAAACTAACTCAAAATACAGTTTTTTTCACTAAACATGAAAGAAATGTCCGCCATGTTTTTGGTTCTCACAGCCGGAATCTTGAAAGTCACGTGACTCTGACGGAAAACAATAGGAGAAGACTAAGCCAAAAAAATGTAACATTCATACAATTTAAGGGCCATTATTGTAACCCCTCTACGTTTTGCACTTTGGACCAACGTAGTCAGGGTACATTTTTATATGAGACTGGGTTGGATCCAAAGTAACTAGTAACTAACTACTTGAGTAGTTTTTTCATTGGATACTTTTTTACTCTTACTCAAGTAACTTTTAAGATTATTACTTTTACTTTTACTTTGAGTAAATATTTCTATAAGTACTTGTACTTTTACTTGAGTAAAGTTTTTGGATCCTCTACCCACCTCTGACTACATTTAAACTAATACAATACAACTTGTGTGTGCAAAATCCAGAATCACATGAATGTGCAGCATTTTGTACAAATAGAGACATACGTAGTTGTTAATACAAAACCTCGATTTTGTATTAATGTAGCTCAGAATTTGCGTATGCAACAAGTAAGATGTGCAATTGTGGATGAGGTGACGCGTGCATTCATTGACTCGTTTCTGAGTCGATCCTATTTGATTCATTTGGATTTTGAGACTTTCATTTCGCTGGTTTAGCCTTGCACAATCCACACACACTGTCTGAGAAAACCTGCTACCACTAGATGGCAGTATTCTGCTAAAACAGACGACGGCAGCGTAATCGAGGGATCTTCCCCATTTACGCTTAATGTGAGTGAAATTGAAGCACCAAATTTAGTACACAATGTAGGCCTACCTTATTAATAAAGTATACTTTGTATATCAGATATGGGTGTTGTTCATAATCTGATTTAATCTGTTTGCCTATACAAAGTATACTTTATTAATAAGGTAGGTGTTAATTAACTCTGTGTTAATTTAACACTGGGGATTTTGCTGTGTATAGCGCCCCAGCCCATTCCACCAAGGTGGATATTGTCTGGCTGAGGGCCCGCGCTGTGACTGTACTGCAGTTCCTGCATCAACCCCGGCTCAGAACTACCCTCGTGCTGCTCTTTTAGTGTTTTGGCCTGGTGGACTTGCAGAAAGGCCGTAGCATGCAAGGCAGAGGCAGCCTGTCCAAACTAGTTATCCTAGCCCACAGTGAAAACTAATCCCATGCTTCCTAATGATATCTACCAAGGGTAGCATGTACAGAGTGAACAGCATTGGTCCTAGTACTGAGCCTTGTGGTTCTCCATACTGGACTTTTGATCGATATTACATCTCTTCGTTTACTACTACAACCTGATAAAATCATATAAGTTAGATTTAAACCATGCTAATGCAATTCCACTAATGTCAACATAATTTTCGAGTCTATTCAATAGAATGCTGTGGTCGATGGTGTCAAATGCAGCACTAAGATCGAGTAACACTAGAGAGATACAACCACGATCCGATGATAAGAGCAAATCATTTGTGACTCTAATGAGAGCAGTCTCAGTACTATGATATGGTCTAAATCCTGACTGGAAATCCTCAGAGATATCATGTCTTTCTAAAAAGGAACATAGTTGTGAGGATATTGCCTTTTCTAGTATCGAGCACCACCAATTTCCAATATCCAATTTTTCTTGTATTCGAGATCGGCCTGTAATTGACTAAATCTCTAGGATCAAGTTGCGTTTTCTTAATAAGAGGTTTAAAGGTGGGATCAGTAGTTTTTTAAATATGCTGTTTGGATGTGAAAGGGGGGTTAAAATTGCCCCGTCAGAGACCCAGGACCAGATATGATGAAAGAAGACCAGGAGTTAGGATTTTTTTTTAAATGAAGAAAAATGTACTGAAAAATAGTTTGTGCTTTTATCAGCAGAAGTCAGTTTCAAGACTCACACAGGAGTTCGTAGGCCGTCCCCCTTACTGTTACAAAGATCAAAGCAGTTATACCATTTCCAAGGTCTAAGCTACGTCATTGCATTAGGTGGCTAATTCTGATTGGCTAAGAGCCCATAAAATCTAAACAATTTTCCACACAGGATTGATAAGAGAACTTGTGACCATAAGTCAAGATAGTTGTCGCACGATTCCTAGATTTAGGTCTGCGTTGACCTCGGAGGTCGTCAGAGGTGTCTTCGGGTCTGCTGTTGAATGCCAAAGTGTCCCATAGATATTAAAGGACCTGCAGAACACATTGCAGCTTCTCCAAGGTTGGATTTGGCCAGGCTCTAACTATAGACAGGAGATTCGTCTCAAAACATCAAGATAATACAGGTCCTTCTCAAAAAATTAGCATACAGTACATTGAAGCAGCAGTGGATTCCAATATCCACACCCTTCAGATGTTAGTCGGTCCGACACAACAACAAACATGTCAGCCAATCAGCATTAGTGGACGTATGACGGCAGAGGAGAGAGAACAAGCAAGAGGGAGATTTGAACTGGAGAAAGACGGCAGAAATAGAGATGAGACATAATACAAATGAGAAAATCTCAGACAAAATCGCTGAAAAATAAAGGGTTACAGTATGTCTGGTCAAGAGCTTTAGGACCCGTGTTAATATTAGAAAAGCTTTCCAGCACTGGAGAGAGAGAAGAGGGAAGGCCTGAAAACAGATGCGGATGTTGCTTTGATTCGGGTCCACATGTGAGTAACACTGGGTTTGAGTGTCATTGTGTGTCTGGAGCTGCTGTGCTGTTGGCAACTAACAAATAACTCTTGTTTGTAATTACTATTGAGTACTGTACGTTATTTTTTTGTGCTTCCTTATCATTCGTTTATCATCTGCGCTTTATTTTTCGTGAAGCATTATTCTGTTGCACTTCTGTATGAACAGACATCCACTCTTGGATTGCATGTGTAACGGAGGCCAGTTAGTGAAAGTGGTGCTGACAACTGCTTGTGAATGCGGTGTTTAGCGTCATTGTTAGTGTACTTGACTCACTTGCCAGGGCGAGGGATCGGGGTCCGAGACCGACTTGGAGCAGGGCTGTTAGGATTGGAGTGTGAGTTTTGGAGGCGGAGCAATGAAGAAGGGGTGTGTTTGTTTGGGTTGATTTCAAATATCAACATTGGCCAACAGCATATTTCAAAAACTACTGATTCCACCTTTAATATTAGCCAGCTTAAACGTTTTTGGTACACATTCTAGTGACAAAGAAGAATTAATTATATTTAAGGGATAGTTCACTTTGAAATTAATTTTTGGTATGTTTTAGCTTACCTCAAGGGCATCCAAGATGTAGGTGTCTTTGTTTCCACAGTAGTTTCAATTTTGATATTTTTAGGTCAAACCGTTCTTGTCTGTCAGTCATATAATGCAGGTCTATGGTCACCACCTCAAAGAGCATGCACAGAGAAGTCCAAATTGAACATGATTTAATGACTCGTAAATGTAAGTACACATTGATGGTCTAAGACACGAAACGAGCGGTTTGTGTGAGAAAACGAACAGTATTTATATCGTTTTTACCTCTTGTAACCACAGCCACGTACAAGTGATCTGAGGGTGCGGGCGCTTCGGTCTGCGCAAGTGCCGGAAGTGATCTCTCGCGTGTGTACGTCACTCATTTTTACACAGAATAGAGATTGTAGGTAAGACGGCTAATTAAAATGGTACTAAATTGCGCTTATCTCGGATGTTTAAACCGTCGTAAAAGAAAACAATTACGTATGCTCGCGCGAACTCATCCGAGAGATCACTTCAGGCGCTTTCTGTCGCTTGCGCAGACCGAAGCGCCCGCGCCCTCAGATCACTTGTACGTGGCTGTGGTTACAAGAGGTAAAAACGATATAAATACTGTTCGTTTTCTCACACAAACCGCTCGTTTCGTGTCTTAGGCCATCTTATGTATGTTGTTTTTTTGGTGTGTAGAGACAAATAGATCAAGATGTTCGGTCAACCGGTTAATTAGTTAATTAATTATTAAAAAGTAGTGGAGATGGGGTAAGATTGAATAAGCTTATGCTTCTTCCTACTCCTTTTCGGACATGTATAAGTTAAAATAGTTTTTTATGCTATTAATTTTTTATTTATTTTTATCATTGTTACTGATTTTGTTGTTGTTGTTGTTGTTGTTGTTGTTGTTTGTAGTTTTTTTTTATATATTTTTATTTTTTATTTTTTACATGTTCGAAATAAAAGCTCTTCATTCATTCATTCATTCATCAATGTGTACTTACATTTACGAGTCATTAAATCATGTTCAATTTGGACTTCTCTGTGCATGCTCTTTGAGGTGGAGACCATAGACCTGCATTTTATGACTGACAGACAAGAACAGTTTGACCTAAAAATATCAAAATTGAAACTATTGCGGAAACAAAGACACCTACATCTTGGATGCCCTTTAGGTAAGCTAAAACATACCAAAAATTAATTTCAAAGTGAACTATCCCTTTAAGGATAGCATCTCTTTCAGTAGCTTAGTCGGTATAGGGTCTAACATACATGTTGTTGATTTAGATGATTTAACGAGTTTAGACAATTATTCCTCTCCTATTGCAACAAATAAATAATTTTGTATTACGTTTGAGCTCATGTTGCCTGGCTACCAGTTTCTTTGAAACTGTTGATTTGTCAAACATGCAATGGCAAGTTTCTCATTTACTCCTGATAATAAGTCATCTGAGGTTATTCATTACAGCTACAGTAAACTCTGAAGACCAATTATAGCCATTATGGTTTGCTGTTGAGTAAATGTGCACCTCTGGGTGCTGTTAACACCTGTGTTATGCAGAGATGATCTATTCATTAGAGGTGTGAAAGCAACACATCTAAACACACAGTGAATGCACTGATGCAATAGCTGCTGCTCATTATTCAGGGATCAGTTACATAATATTTTGTTTTGATGTATTTTAAAAGTAAATGAAGTAGAACTTTTATTCGACAAGTAGATATACAAAAAAATCCTCTCGGTGCAGGTGCCAACAGTACAGAGAAACACATTACCTATACCTTAGAAATGTTGGCCCATATTGATAGGATAGCATCTTGCAGTTGATGGAGATTTGTGGGATGCACATCCAGGGCCCGAAGCTCCCGTTCCACCACATCCCAAAGATGCTCTATTGGGTTGAGATCTGGTGACTGTGGGGGCCATTTTAGTACAGTGAACATTGTCATGTTCAAGAAACCAATTTGAAATGATTCGAGCTTTGTGACATGGTGCATTATCCTGCTAGAAGTAGCCATCAGAGGATGGGTACAGGGTGGCCATAAAGGGATGGACATGGTCAGAAACAATGCTCAGGTAGGCCCTGGCATTTAAACGATGCCCAATTGGCACTAAGGGGCCTAAAGTGTGCCAAGAAAACATCCCCCACACCATTACACCACCACCACCAGCCTGCACAGTGGTAACTGTAGTTATATGTGATGGGTGGGATCGCTACTGAGTGAGCCACGCCCCAAGCGGGGTTTTTGTACTCTGCGAGTGAGCAATAAAGTGCAGTTATGTACCTGCTAGGCTGTGTGATCGCTGTCTCGGCTCATTCACAAACACAACATGGTGTCAGAAGCGGCTAGAACAGTCTCCAACGAACGATAAGCTGTTGAATAAGCCCATAAGCACTGCTGGAAGAGAAACGCTACAGTAGGACTGTAGATTACAACGTTTTTCCAATGGAAAAACATAAGGAAAGACCGCAAGCGGATCAGCACACGCTCAACCACCGCACCGTAAGTTAAGAGCGGGGGAGGGGTATGGTTACCAGGCAACCTGGGTGCAGGCAGAAAGGCCCACAGAAGCGTATTGTGATTCATAAAAGTTGAATAAAGCGCTCAAGTTTGAAAAGAGCTTCAAGAAGAAACAAAAAAAAATACAATAAAAATCTACAAAGCAAATGGAGGAATCACCAGCACCCACAACCTCGTATCAAATCCGACCTCCTGATCCATTCGATTTTACAAAGCCAAACGACTTTGAAAGATGGCTCAGACGATTTGAAAGGTTCAGAGTTGCAAGTAATCTTGCACAAGCATCAGATTTGCACCAAGTTAATACACTGATTTATTGCATGGGAGACAAAGCTGATGACATTTTGTGCGGATTAGCCATGACTACAGAAGAGCGTGGAAATTATGAAACTGTGCAGAATAAATTCAAGGAATA